AAAAGATTTAAGAGATTTAAATATTAAATGGTTAAGAAATCAAATAGGATTAGTTGGACAAGAACCTATTTTGTTTGCATGTACTATCAGAGAAAATATTATGCTTGGAGCAAGAGATGGAGAAACACCAACTGAAGAAGAAATGATTGAATGTGCTAAAATGGCAAATGCACATGATTTCATTTCTCATCTTCCAGAAGGATATGATACAATGGTAGGAGAAAAAGGTGCTGCATTATCAGGAGGACAAAAACAAAGAATTGCTATTGCACGTGCATTAATTAGAAAACCTAAAATCTTATTACTTGATGAAGCTACATCAGCACTTGACACTCAAAGTGAAAAAATTGTACAACAAGCACTTGAAAAAGCTAGTGAAGGAAGAACAACAATTGTTGTAGCACATAGATTAACAACTGTTAGAAATGCTAGTAGAATTTGTGTATTCCATCAAGGAGAAATTATAGAACAAGGAACACATCAAGAATTAATGGAATTAAAAGGAACATATTATGGATTAGTTAAAAGACAAAGTATGGAAGAAGAAGTTGATCAAGAAACAGTTGAAAATGATTTAAAGAAAATTAGAGAACAAGAAAATAAAGAAGCAGAAGAAATTAATCAACATAAGAATGCAGATACAAATGAAGATCCAGATGTTGTACAAAAATTAGAAGATGAATATAATAATGAAATGAAGAAATTGAAACATTCAAATAGATTTGTATTATTAAGAGTTATTCTTGATAATTTCAGACATGAATGGTTCTTATCAATACTTGGATTTATTGGAGGAATTGGAGGTGGTGCTATTTTCCCATTCTTTACATTAAAAATTGTTGACTTAATTATGTGTTTATTATCAATTAATTCAGATACTCTTACTGATGACCAAAAGGATACTATTAAAAATATTTGTATAATTGTTGTTGTTATAGGTGTTGCATCATTTATATCATACTTTATGTATATTGGATTATTCTTATCAGCAGGATTTAAGATGATTGGTCGTGTTAGAAAAGATATGTATCATTCAATAATGCATCAAAATATCTCATGGTTTGATAGAAAAGAAAATATGGTAGGATCATAACAACAAGACT